TCCCTCACAAGAACTGGGACTTCATCTTGTTCCCAGAACCTGGCACACGGTAGGTGCTCAAGTCATGGTTGTTGAGCAGACCAAAGAGGAAAAGAGGTCATTGGTCCACAGCAGATGGAGAGATAGAAGGAGACAGAGGGAAGGCGTGTTGAAGCCTGAAGCCAGAACCTTCTCCTTTGTCTATAAATCATGCTTTGAAGCAGTGGTTCTCAACTGGGGGTGATTCTGCACCCCCGCCAGGAGGCGTTAAGTGATGGTGGAGACATTTTTGGCTGTCATGACTAGGTGGAAGGGGGACAGCCATTGGCAGCTAGTGGATGGAGGCCAGGGATGCTGCTAAAGATCCTGCAATGTACAGGACAGCCCCCCCACAGCAAGGAATCATCCGGCCCCAATGCCAACAGAGCTGAGAATGAGAAACCCAGTTTTAGAGGCACCTCCTCCTGCAAGCCCTCCTGGATTGACACACCCCCTTCCTTTCTCCCTTTTGCAACACCAGGAGAGATTGATCAGGTGGGGTGAGCCCAGGGCTGTGCCACCAGGATGGGGTCAAGGTCAGAGTGGAAATGTTCCTTCATCACATTTGCTTTGGACGCGGGGCCCTGTCCCAGGTGCTGAGGGTCTAAGTTAAGTGGGGTGGATGCGGCTCCTCCTCAGCACAGAGCACAGGTGAGGGGCGTTGGGGAGCAGAACATCCTTGGGGGTGAGTCGGGGTCGAGCAGGGTCAGGGCTGGGGCTGGGGTGGGAACCCGCCTGAGGATCGTTTATGGTTGTTGCCGGACCCCTGACTCATTCCTATGGATCCAGGTCTGTGATGAGCGAAGGGGCTGCCCCAGGCTAAAGGATCCCAAACCTGAAAGAAGAACTGACACCCTCAGATCGGGGCCCACATCCGCACAGTTTCCTGTTTTTCCCTTAAAGTGAACAGAGCGGTGGGTTGATACCACAGAAAGGAAGAGGGAGGGGTCAATCGCATGACAGCGTTGTTTTTAAGATTTTATGTTTTTTTTAAGATTTTATGTATTTGTTTGACATAGAGAGAGATCACAAGCAGGAGGAGAGGGAGAGGGAGAAGCAGGCTTCCGGCTGAGCAGAGAGCCTGATGTGGGGCTCGATCCCAGGACCCCGGGATCATGACCCGAGCCAGAGGCAGAAGCTTAACCGACTGAGCCACCCACGTGCCCCAGGATGGTCATTTTAAGTAGGGAAGAGAGTTGTCAGGTGGGCAACAGAGAGAGAGGTCACTGGGGCTAGACATAAGGCAGCAGGTCCGTGATGAGCGAAGGGGCTCCTTCGCTCCCCCCCCAAGTAGGGGAGTGGAGATTTCACCCCCAAAGCATCGTCTTGTCTAAGCTGAGTCTTGGCAGGGACCCAGTATCACAGGAGCTGCTCTGCCCCCCAGAAGGGCACGGTGGGGATAGTGGGCAGCAGTGTGGACGGGGGCCCGAGCACAGGGCCTGCAGAGCTCCCAGAAGCTCAAAAACACCAAACTGCTTCCCCACCCCATCCTCCATTCATCATCCCCTACCCCATCCTGTGTCTTCACAGCGACCCAACAAGGAGTGTTCCCAAACTTTCTCCTCCTCCTTCCTTCCTGTGTCCTCATCACTAGGACAGCCCCATTGTCCATCAAGGACTCCAGCTGAGACCCAGTCAATTTTTACAGCATCTTCTGAGTACCTCCCCCTGCCCACCTCCCCCATTGCCAAGGCCGGTGCCTTCCCAAAACAACCTGCTTCTCTTCATTCCCGCAGCCGCCGCCCCAGACACACCTCCTCCGGCACCTGGGCCAGGTGACAGCTCCCCAGTGTCCCCACCCCCACTTAGCCCCCATGACAACACCCAGGGTCCCCCCACCCAAGCCTCCTGCTGCCTTATGTCTAGCCCCAGTGACCTCTCTCTCTGGTGCCCACCTGACAACTCTCTCCCCTACTTAAAATGACCATCCTGGGGCACGTGGGTGGCTTAGTCGGTTAAGCTTCTGCCTCTGGCTCGGGTCATGATCCCGGGGTCCTGGGATCGAGCCCCACATCAGGCTCTCTGCTCAGCCGGAAGCCTGCTTCTCCCTCTCCCTCTCCTCCTGCTTGTGATCTCTCTCTCTCTCTCTCTCTATGTCAAACAAATAAATAAAATCTTAAAAAAAAAAATAAAATGACAATCCTCTGTCAGTTGGCCAATCATGCAATGGGTCCGAGTCCCCACGATTAGCCCAGATCAAGGTTGAGAGGGACAGTCAGGGGCCCTGAATACACAGCCTCAACCCAACAGTCATTCAGTCAATAGACACGTACTGAGGGCTGCCCTTCGGTGCTGAAAACACAGTGTGATGGACAAGGGAGACATTTCAGCCAGGACCCTCCCTAGCCCAGTCCTGGCTGGGAAGTGGGACACAGGGGCATGGGCGGGTGTCTTCCCATCCAGGGGTGGGGGCTGGGCACGGGGTGTTCTCCAGACAAGACTGGGAAGACGGTTAAGGAACAGAGGATACATTTTCAGGAGGAAGAGCAGGGTGTGAGGTGTCAAGAAGGAGGCCTCATAAATACAAGGCCAGGTGCATGGTGGTTAGAGCAGCAGACTTGGGACCCACGCTGCCTGGGTTCAAATCCTGGCTTTGCCATTTATGAGCTGCGTGGCTTCGGGCAAGTTACCTAACCTCTCTGTGCCCCACATCCTACACCAATAAGGCAGCATGAAGAACAAAGGCGTCTACCTCGCGGAGTGTTTGTGGACATTAAATTGCTGTCCTAGGACACTGGGCACTGAGCCCAGTTTCTGCTGCTACTAAATTCAACCATGTAACGAAACTGTCACTATTTGACCAAGATGTTATGGGATCTCCTGGATCTTTCTAGTCACTTGGGTTCAGTCCCGACTCTACCAGTTACTTCCTGCAGCGCTCCGGGAATGCAGGTTAGCGTCTCTGAACCTGCGTTGGCTCACCTGAGTGACGGAGAGAGCTATTAATAGTATGGACTTTACCGGGTTGTGGGGAGCACCAGGGGAGGCCATGTGTATGATATGGTTAACCAGGTGGTGAGCCCATAATTAGGTCTGTGAAAATAGAATCTGTGGGCGGGGGTGCTTTCAGAAGAAACTCTCTCTCCCAGGTTAAGCTCACCATGGCCTGCGGCCCCACAGGCCTCTCCAGTCAGCCCCGACGGGCTGGGAGAGCGACACGCTCACAACTCAGGTGAGTGCAGGATATGCGTGAGTGTGTGAGAGTGTGTGAGTGTGTGTGCACATAGGTGACCCTCTGTGCGCGTGTGTGTCGGGGCTGGCCCTGGGAAGCGGACAGGGAAGGCTCCCTGGAAGAAGCGACCTCCAGCCTGAGTCTTGAAGGATGCGTTGAGGGGGGGAGTTCTGCATGAAGGAAGGGCGGTGGGCGGTGGGCAGCATGGACGGGATCGCTGGAGGTGCAGGGTCCTGGGTTGGGGAGGCGGAAGTCAGCGCCTGGCATGATTGCAAAGAACAGATGAGCTTGGGGGGTGTGCTGGGGTTGATCGCAGGGGGCCGTGGAGAGCCACGGAAGGCGAAGGCCGGAAGCAGGGCTGGGAACTCTGGTGTTAGATAGAGGGCCTGGCGTCAGGCCTGGTGTCAGGTTACCAGAAGACACCTACCAGGAGGTCTTGCCCCCCCCACCACGTGGTTGAGCAAATAGGCTCCAATGTCACACGTCCTGGGTTCAAGTCCCAGTCCCACCACTGTGTGACATGGACGAATGACTTTTTGGTGCTTCAGTTTCCCCAGCACCCCACCAGTAGGTTAACCGAGCAGAAACTGTGTGCCAGGGCCTCGCACACCGAAACCCCTGGTTGACAGCTGAGCCAACTAGGCCGCGCCTTCAGGGAGAAGCCAGGACTCAGCCTTAGGTCTGTCCAGCGTGGGTTCACGCAGGTTGGGCGGCGGGATGGTGACACCTCTGGCTTCTTCCACGATGGCGAAAGATCCAGTTTGAGCCGCCATTAATCAGAGCCTGGTCACCACACGTCTCCATTTCCCCAAGGCTCAGAGAGGGGAAGTGACTTGCCCAGAGTCATACAGCAAGAGAGACAGCCTATAACCTCAGACAAGAGGCTTGTCTGACCCCCAAACCCACAGTATTTGGCACAGTCTTTAATTTTTTTTTTTTTAAGATTTTATTTATTTGAGAGAGAGAGAATGAGAGACAGAGAGCATGAGAGGGAGGAGGGTCAGAGGGAGAAGCAGACTCCCTGCCGAGCAGGGAGCCCGATGCGGGACTCGATCCTGGGACTCCAGGATCATGACCTGAGCCGAAGGCAGTCGCTTAACCAACTGAGCCACCCAGGCGCCCCTTGGCACAGTCTTTAAAGTCAAGAGACTTTTTAAAGATTTATTTATTTGAGAGAGAGAGACAGCGCACATAAGCTGGGGGAGGGGCTGAGGAAGAGGAAGAGACTCTGAAGCAGACTCCCCGCTGAGCCTGGAGCCCAACTTGGGGCTCCATCTCACAAGCTGAGATCATGACCTGAGCCGAAACCAAGAGTTGGACGCCCACCCGGGCGCCCCAGAGTCAAGAGACTCTAAAGATGCTTTGGGCACGTTGGCAAAGGAGGAAACTGAGGTCTGGTGGCAGAGATTCTGCACCTCCCAGCATGACCGGGCACACAGTAGATGCCTCATAAGTGTTTAGGATCTGAGGACCCACTGTGGGCATAGGGCACCTCGCTGAAAGCCTCACACACATTGTTATCTCATTTGATCCTACCACGATCTCCTGAGTTGGATGCGATCATCATTCCCGTTTTCTAGAGGGGAAACTGAGGCTCAGAAAGATGGAGTCCCAGGCCAAGGTTGCACAGGCAGCAATAGTAACAAGCTGATTCTATTTGTGGTGCTATGTGCCGGGCCTTGTTCAGAGCACTTTACATATTCATGAGGAGCACATCACCGCCCTTGGGCATAGGTATTATTAACATTGGCATTTTATGGATGAGGAAGTTGGACGAATGACTTTCTTGCCGCGTTTATCAAGCACTTGCTGTGTACCTTGCATGTGCTGGACTCCGGGGTGCCCACCTCTGGTCTCAGGCCTGTGACCTTCCAAACCAGCTGCATCTCCCAGTTAAATGCAACACTGACTCCTGGCCATGGACTAAACAAAATCAGCCAATGGTCACTGAGCTCCTCAGGTCCCACATGCTGTCCGGAGCCTGACATCTACCCTTCCTGCTCGTTAGAACCCAGATCCCGGCCGGAGCTATTACCTGTTAAGTAGACTGCTTTGTCTGGTGGTGAGCAGCCTGTCACTGGGAGAATCCAAGCAAGACTGCCATGGAAGAGCATTCGTACTCAGGTGAGAGGAGTCTCTGGTGCTGACACTGGCAAAACCAAGCACCTGACCTCCTACCTTTTACCCAGGAGAGGAGAGGGGCTCCTGGGTCTCTCTCTGGGAAGAAGCCCCAGCCAGGGGCCAGGGGGAGGTGAGCCCAGACTGGCCTTCTGGGCACAGAGCCAGGAAGGAGAGGGAAGCCACAGAACCCTCCCTTCCCTGACTCAACGCCCTCCAACAAAAAACCCCACTTTAGCTGGGGTGCTGGGAGCCGGATAGAATTAGAAGCCAAGTAGAACGGGGACTCAGAACAAGGGGAATTCGGCGTGATGAATCCTCACAGCCAGGATGAGGGGAGGGGGCCCAGACCCAAGGTGGGGCCACAAGGTAGGGATTGGGGTGAGGCCCCCGGGGGGTCTGACATCCAGGGAAAAGGCTGGGGAAGAGCTCGGATATTGAGGAAGAACTGAAAGCCGATGTGCTGAGTTTGGGCCAGGCCCACGGTGAGGGCTGGGGGTCCAAGGTGAGGGAAGACCCAGCTTTCTGGGCATGAGGCTGGAGATCGAGCATGGGCGTGTGAGGGGGTAACTGAACCCATAAAAGGGAAGAGGACCACGGGTGAGAGCTGGGTGGGGGTTGGCCATCTGATGAGGGGCCGTGGAGGAAGGGTCTCAGCTCCTGGTCCTGGGCGCATCTTTCTGGACAGTGACCTGGCCCCCAGTCAGGCTTGCTGACCACTGGGGTGTGGGCAGAAGGAGTGACCGACGTGGGCTGGACGGTGGGAGGGACAGAGTCGGAGAGGCATGCATGCAGAGGGGGACAAAGTCCGGGGGTGGGGTGCTCGCTGGTGGGTACGACAGACAGCAGGGAAGGCGTGCAGAGGAGGCGGGGGGTCCCCTGAGACGACTGCGTTAGTGTGGGCTCTGGACGGGCTCCCGGGACTTAGGGGCTCTGGGTGATGGGGAGACAGGCAGCTGAAGCCCAGTCTCAACCTTCCCCCTCTGGTGCTCTCCCCAGACCCAGCAGAGTTCCCAAAGTTTTCCAGACGGCGGCGATGCTGTGGGCAGGGGGTGCGGCTGATGCTGGTGGGGCTGGCGACCATCCTGCTGTGGGCTGGGCTGCTGACCCTGCTTCTCTTCTGGCGTGAGGATACCCCCAGCCCCATGCGGTCTCCCTCTTGTGTTCCCTCCCAGAAGCCCACTTTCCGACCCCGGGGAGCCCAACACACTCCTTGGAGTCCAATTTTCCCACCGTGTCTCCCGCCTTGTCCTCACCGGCCCCCTCCCAAGCCCCTTCTGCCCACCCCGTCCAGCACCCCTGGCTCCCGCCCTTCCCACACCTCCCACACAGTATGCCCAAGGCCTTCAACCCCAGCTGACAGGTGGGCTGGGGGGGGGCGCACCTGGAAACCCGTCTTCTCCCCTTCTCTTCTCTCCTCCCCAGACTGGGACACTGTGCAGAATCTGAAACAGCTAGAAGTAACCGCTGCCCGGAACGGTATGGAGGGGCCGAGGCGGGGGAGGGGGTCTCTTGTCCTGCTTCTGCCACTGACCACTGTGGGACATGGGAGAAGGGCTGGGCTCCAGTGTCCCCCCCGCCCCCGCCCCAGAACTGAGGGTCAGCCTGCATTTCCCCCTCCCCTGGGGGTGAAAACCCAGAGACTCTTGGAGGGGAGGGGGCGCTGAGAAGTGCCTGATGGAATGCTACATAATTGCTCCAGGCCTCAGTTCCCTCACCTGCAAAATGGGCATCATTTCAGGGCTATCGAGGCAGAAACAAGCTAAGCCTGTGAAGCACTTAGACCCTTGTCCAGTGAGCTTTCAAGAAATGCCTGTTGCATTTACGTTTCCTTCTGGGTGGGGGAGGGACAGGTGTTCATTCTATTCTGGCCTGCATTTTCCTGAGTACTCTTGCCCCAAAAATGAAAAACGAAAAGCTTCAGGCCCTGTGACCATGTGAGGGGTTCCTGCACTTGGGGCCAGGGGAGGGGGAGGGGAGCGCTTCAGGAACCTGCCTTCCTGGCTCCTAAAGACACATCTCCTCTCCTGCCACCCCAGTCTCTCGGGTTGCCAAGGACTTGGAAAGACACAACGGGGACCAGATGGCCCAGAAAGCCCAGGGTAAGGGATGTCAGCTCGGGTCTAGGAGGAGGAGAGGGGTGGGGGTGGGGAAACCTGGATTAACTTGTGGGCACAGTGCACTAGACCACCTGTGAACTACAAAATGAGCAGGTGACCCTGAAGACATGGGGGGTGGGGGGGATGGGAGACTGGGGAGGGCCCTGAGGACTGGCTTACCACTGAGCCCCCTCCCCTGCAACCAGATGCCCAGGTGTCACAGAGCATGGAGGAAATCCAAGCTGAACAGAAGAGAATGAAAGCTCAGGGTGAGAAATTGGGAGGGGGGGGAGTCCTAGAGCTGGGAGGGACCAGTGGCTGGGGGTTCTGGACTCCCAACCCTCACACCAGCCCACCCCCATCAGACTCTGAGCTCTCCCGGAGCCTGGATGGACTTCGTTCGGACCTGAGCAACCTCAAGTCCCTGAGTGAGCCTTGGGAGGGGATGCGGGGGTGGGTGGGGGGCGTTGCAAGTTTGTCTCTGACCACTGTCCCCCACCCAATCACCCAAGGCTTGAACGAGAGACACACAGCCTTACGTTCACTGGAAAGGCTCCAGGAGGAGGTGGTGAAGCTGTGGATAGAGCTACACACATCCAACGGTGAGTTGGTGTGTTGGGACATGTGTTTATCAACACAGTTGTGTGGTGATGTGCATTTGAATGTGTGGTAGATGTGTGCACGTGACAACGTGGATGGGTGTATGCTTATGCGTGTGGCAGGGTCCGTGGGGGACACACAAGAGTTTCTTTCTGAGTCCAGCTTCTTCCCTCTAAGGACCTGGAGCAGGTGGGGGGGGGCGGGGGGCGCTCGAACACTTTTTTCCTCCTCCAGGTGAAAGCATCGTTTTGCCATCTCTGGGTTCTCTTTGTCTCCCTCTCCTCTGCCCATTGTGGCTCAGCAAAGAGTCATCAGCACGATGCCCTCAGCCACGGCCCTCCCAGAAGACTGCCCTAGCCAGGGCGGACAAAGCGGGTCACCTCTGCAGCGATGGGGGTGATGCTGGTGGTCATGAGGGTCAGGGGGGCCGCGCAGCAGGCTGCAGGAAGAGCAGACATTCAATCAGTGCACCTTTAACCTGGGATAGGAACCTGGGTGTTACTGCCCTGATGTCCTCCCCCACCCTCACCCTCACCCTTGATTTTTGGTTTTCCACCTCTGGGAAGTCCCAGCTGCCCCAACTGGCAAAGAAAAGAGGAAGGCTCTGTGCTTGGTGTGAAGGAGTGCAGTCCCCTGGGACACTGTGTGGCTGTGGGAATCTCAACAAGAAACTGGCTTGTGGTCCCTCTGGGCCCACATTCGCTCTGATGGATGACCTTCCAATTCCTACCCAGTCCCTGGTGTGGCCTGGGGTCTGAGCACAGCTGCAAGGCTGTCTCTCGATGACTACGCAACACTCAGCCAGGGCACTTTCCTCAAAGTTTTCTTCCCCCGCACCAAAGATTTTTTTTCTTTATTTATTTGAGAGAGAATGAGAGCATGGGCAGGGGGAAGGAGCAGAGGGAGAGGGACAAGCAGGCTCTGTGCTCATGCGGGGCTCGATCTCATGACCCTGAGATCATGACCTGAGCAGAAATCAAGAGCAGGACGCCCAACTGACTGAGCCACCCAGGCGCCCTACCCTTCAAAATTGTCTTCAAGTGCCCAGAGATACTCTCTTCCTGTTTTAATGTGCCCCACCCCCTGCACGAAGGGCCACGTACGGGTCACTGGTTCATGTGTGAGAAACACATCCAGCTTTGCTCCTCACGGAGGTTGTGGACCCCAGGCCCCTTAAAAACTTCCCCGAAAGCTATGGAGCCCTCTCTGTGCATCAGTCCAAGAAAATCTATTTTAAATCAAGAGCAAGTCCGCCAGGAGCAGTGGGTTTAACCTCACACCTGGGAGTGCTGGGTGGTGGCGACAGTGCCTGAGAGCTTCCTCGGGGTGGGCGCAAGAAGAGACAGAGACCAAGGTGGCCCAAGGTCAAGGCCAGGCGGACCCAGCCCCCCATGAGCTCTCCCGATCAATCCCTCCAACTAGACAAAAATCATCTCCGGTCCCCAAACGTGGCTAGAGTCTGGTTTTGGGGGCGCAGGTAGCAAGGGTGACCAGGGCTGTTATCGGAGCCGATGGTGGGGACAAGACACGGGGAACGCATTGCTGCAATCTTGGCCCCACCACGTCGGCAGCGGCGCTGGCCGTGGGGGCAGCCGCCGAGAGAGGTTGCCGGCGATCCTGGGTCCCTCCGGTGATGATGGTGGTGACGAACGTGTCGCCGGCAGGGCTTGGCGGTTGAGGTGCTTCTGACCGTGAAGGTGTTTGTGGTGCTCACAAACCATACCTGGTGGCTGAGGTGCCGCTGGCCATGGAGCGGATGCCGTGGGGATGCCGATGGTGACTGGTCCGCTGCTGACTGTGGGTCTCCTTGTGGGGATGGTGCTGGCGGAGGCTGAGGTGCTGCTGGCCTTGATGCTGGGGGTCCGTGGCAGGCACTCTGCTCCGGTGGGGGTCTTTGTGGTGATGGTGCTGGCTGTTGAGCTGCTCCTGCCGGGAGCACGTCGGCGTCAGAGCTCTGGAGAAGGCAGCCTGCAAGACTTTGTTAGGCTCTGGGGTGGGTCTGCTTTCAGCCCGGACCCCACGGGTGACTCCAGGAGAGATGCTGCCACCCACTCTGCCTATCATACCCACGGTGCCAGCCACAGCACCAGCCACGGCGTCCACCACAGTGCCAGCCACGGCATCCACCACGGTGCCCGCCACGGTGCCCGCCACAGTGCCAGCTACACCGTCCACCACAGTGCCAGCCACGGCATCCACCACGGTGCCCGCCACGGTGCCCGCCACGGTGCCCGCCACAGTGCCAGCTACACCGTCCACCACGGTGCCCGCCACAGCATCCGCCACGGTGCCAGTCACGGCGTCAGCCATAGCGGCCGCCACGGTGCCCACCACAGCTGCCCGCCTGAGCCTCTCCTCCACCCCAGGCTCCCTGTGTAACACGTGCCCCGAGAACTGGGTCAACTTCCAGAGGAAGTGCTACTACTTCGGTGAGGGCCCCAAGAAGTGGATCCAGGCCCGGTTTGCCTGCGGCAAACTGCAAGGGCGGCTGGTCAGCATCCACAGCCAAGAGGAGCAGGTGGGCCTGGGCTCGGTGGGCAGGGGGGTGTGGATCCCCACCTCGACCTCTTGCACGGTGGGAGGGACCCGGGCACAACTCCCCAGCCCTTCCAGTCCTGTCCTGCTCCCCAGGACTTCCTGGCCAGACATGCCAACAGGAAGGGCACCTGGATTGGCCTCCGGGACCTGGACAGAGAGGGGGAGTTTATCTGGATGGACCAGGGCCCCCTGAACTATAGGTAAGGAGGGGGAATGTAGGGGGGATGAGGCCCCGACTCAGAGAGGGGGTGTGCCTCTCTGCAATGACCGGCTTGGGGGGCAGACCCAGGTGGAGGTGAGGGGATGTGGGGGGAGGGTACTCCTGGGCTGCAGGGATGGGGTGGGCAGGGCCCAGACTCTGACGGATGTGTCTAGGCTGAAGGCAGCAGGGCTCCTCCCCCCTCCTCCATTCTCTGACCCTTCTGCTTCAGCAACTGGCGACCGGGGGAGCCCAACAATGGGGGCCAAGGCGAGGACTGTGTGATGATACAGGGCTCCGGAGAGTGGAACGATGCCTTCTGCGGCAGCCGGCTGGACGGCTGGGTGTGTGACCGGCTGGCCACGTGCTGACCGCCCACCCGCCACCTCGGTCCCCCCGGGGTTCACTGGGACGGGCTCCAAGACCCAGACCCTGACAGTCCCCAGCCCACCTGCGAGGTGCACCCCTGCGTCGCTCCCCTGCCCCAGACACTGGAACAGCCAGGCCCACAGCCGGGCTCTGAGGAGCCTCAACAATTTGTGGCTAAGGGCCCGGCCACATTTTCTCCTGCCCAATCGGAAGAAGGGCTTTTGACCCACCCCCGGGCTCCAGCCAACCCCCCAGAGGGTCTGTCCCTTGCTCCTCAGCCCAGCTGGCTGTCCCCATGTCCCTGCTTTCAAGTGCTCAGAGGACCACCTCAGAGCAGTGGCAGCTGCCTCAGGCCCCCGTGTGCTTCCTCTGTCAGGCCCACCCACCGTCTGCTGGAGTCAGGAGGAAACCATACCCCCACCCCACCCCTGGGGCCTGGGACACAGAAGGCACTCAGCAAATGCCGGCAGGCCCAAGGGTGGCCTGCTCACCCAGTCCAAAGGTGCTGGCCCCACCCCGGCACGGGTTTCGGGAGGCCTAGTTGGCACCAGCCCCAGGCTTGGCCAGGGTCAGTCCCTGCACCAGAGGCTGAGGAGGGGGCAGGCCAGGATCGAAGGACACACCGCGTTAAACTCCTCGCCCACCACCTCACCCCCAATTCCTAGCCTAAAAAAGGAAGAATCAGTCTGCTCACGTGGTTCTCAGGCCCCCTGGAGGGGAATCCATGAGGAGAGGCCCATACTGGACCACCCGGGACCTGGGAGCCAGGGCCCGGGCCAAGGGGGCTGGGGAGGGCATTCCAGGGGCACCCAGGGGTCCTGGGGCCAGGAAGGGCCAGGGCTAGAGCTAGCTCTAGGTCACCTGTTGTCTACCCACTGCTCACCCGATTTCTGCCTCCTCCAGATCCCCCTTGGAACTCCAGGCCAGTGCGTAACTGCCTACCTGAGCTCTCCAAAGGGGACCCCACTCTGCCACTCAGGCCAACGCTGGGGTCACACTCAGCACCTGTTTCCCTCACTGCCCCTCACCCCCGAATCCTCAGGGAAATCCATGTGCAGAATCTGCCGACTTCTCACCACCTCCAGCAACCGCTTTGGTGTAGCCCTCATCCTAGCTTGCCTCAATCTCCTTCTTCACTGCCCCACACCTTCCAGAAGTTTCCTTCTGGCTCTGAGAAAAATAAACAAAAAACAAAACCCAAAGTCTTACAGGCTTCTTTGCGATTGCAGAATCCCTGCAGCTTGCCTTGTCTCCCCAGCTTCACCTCCCCCAACCCCAGCACCCACACCAGCCTCCGCACTGGCCCTTACACATGGAGGCTCACTCCTGCCTCAGGGCCTTTGCACATGCCCCCCCCCACTTGCTCCTCAGTGAGGGCTATCCTGGGCTCCCCCTCCCTCCCATTTAAAATGACACCCCTGACTCCAGATCCCTTTTATCTCACCCTACTTTCTCACCACAAAGTCTTCCCCTTCCAAGAAAATGTGTCGTTCACTGATCTGTGTGTTCTCATCCCCCACCCCACCCCGGACTTGAATGTGACCTTCAGGAGAGCAGGGGCTTTTGTTTTGTTCTCAGCTGTGACCCAGCACCTGACCCATAGTAAGTGTTCAATAAATATCTGTGGAAAAATGAATGTGTGTCCATGGGCAAATGACCTCTTCTCTCAGAACCTGCTTCGTGGTCTATTAAATGAGGGGAAGCATCACGCCTGCCTGGTTCACCAAGGGCTGGTGTTGGGTTCCTTCCTCTTCCTTACTCCGCTCCCCCACCCCACCCCCCAACTCCACCCCCCCCAATCTGGGGCTTCAGTAGAGACTGTATCTGCAGCCCAAAGCATCCTGTCAGAGCCACTTCAATGGGAAACCTGCCCGATCTGTTCTTACCTCCCCCCCATCCTATAGATTGTTCACACCTCCCTTGTCCACAAGTCCCTATTCACCCTCAGCAGGGAGAAACAGACCCTGGGCCCTCTCCCAGCCTACAAGCTCTCAGGCATCCCTCCCTAGGGGAACAGCCCCTCTCTTCCCCTCCCACTCTTTCTCTCCTGCATCCTTCACAGCTGGGCCCCTGGATAGGGCTGGCTGGCCCATTCCTGCCCCCTTACCCTTGCTTCTGCAATCTGCCCCTCACCCAGCAGGGCCTAGAAGCCACTCTCCAGGGGCTCTGGGGGGCACCTCAGAAGGCTAAACCCAGACTCCTGCACTTCCCCCTGGCATCCCAGCATGCCCCGGCTCACTCCTCCAATCCTGCACCTTCCATCCCTGTGAGGACCGCCCTCCTGGACGCCAAACCTCAAATCCTGGTTGGCCTCCTACACACGGCTTCCTCACCCGATTCAGACCGCCACCCGGATCACCCCCTCCCCCAGCTCCCTTGGGGCCCCTTCCCCCCACCCCCACCAACAGCTATTTCCTGCTCAAGACCATCCCCGGGGCTACACATGGTGGGTGCTCAATAGTTCCATCTAAGCTGTGGATGCTCATGTCCTTTGCTGGGTGCTGAAGCCTACCCCACCCCTTGCTGGAATAACCGCCCCCTGATCAGACTTGGCACCCGGGCTCTCCCCACCTCATGCCGACCTCCACAAGGCATCCCAAAAAGCAACTGAGAAGCTGCATCCACCCCAACCCTAAACCCTCCGTAAACTGTGAGGGGACTCAGCCGAGAGCACCTGAAGTTCTCTTTCACATCAGACTTGAAATTCAAGTCGGGGGGGGGGGGGGGGCTGGGTGGCTCAGTCGTTAAGTGTCTGCCTTGGATCGAGAGCCCGCATTGGGCTCCCCGCTCGGCAGGAAGCCTGCTTCTCCCTCTCCCGCTCCCCCTGCTTGTGTTCCCTCTCTCACTGTGTCTCTGTCAAATAAATAAACAAAATCTTAAAAAAAAAAAAATTTTTTTTTTTAAAGAAAAAAGAAATTCAAGTCTGGGAGAAGGAAGAAAGGAAAATTTGAACAAGTCCCCTCCCCGCCAAAAAAAAATGTGGCAGGATGTACCTTGGGGAGGAGGAGTGACCAGGAACTCAGGGAGGGCGGTAGGCCAAAGGGAAAGGAGCGGCTGCCTTAAGGGTCAGATTTTACTTTTTATTTTTATTTTTTTAAGATTTTATTTATTTATTTGACAGAGAGAGACACAGTGAGAGAGGGAACACAAGCAGGGGGAGTGGGAGAGGGAGAAGCAGGCTTCCTGCTGAGCAGGGAGCCTGACACGGGGCTCGATGCCAGGACCCTGGGATCCTGACCTGAGCCGGAGGCAGACGCTTAACGACAGAGCCACCCAGGCACCCCCAGATTTTACTTTTTAAACAAGAAACACACAAGAGCACCTGGCTGGCTGGGTCGGTAGAGCATGCCGGCTCTTAATCCTGATCAGGGTTGTTGAGTTTGAGGCCCCTGTTGGGTGATTACTTAAAAATAAAATCTTTAAAAATATAATAAAGGGACGCCTGGGTGGCTCAGTCAGTTAAGCGTCTGCCTTCGGTTCAGGTCATCATCCCGGGGTCCCAGGATCGAGCCCCGCATGGGGCTCCCTGCTCAGCGGGGAACCTGCTTCTCCCTCGGCCTGCTGCTCCCCCTCCTTGTGCACTCATGCGTTCTCTCAAATAAATCTTAATAAAAATTAAAAAAAAAAAAAATAGAGGCGCCTGAGTGGCTCAGTCAAAGATCTGCCTTTGGCTCAGGTCATGATCTCTGGTCCTGGGATCAAGCCCCACGTTGGGCTCCCCACTCAGTGGGGAGTCTGCTTCTCCCTCTCCCTCTGCCCCTAATTGTGCTCGTGCGCACACACTCTCTCTCTAATAAATACAAAATCTTTTAAAAAATAAACATTTAAAAATAAATAAGCAAGGAACATAAATGTGTTCATAGATCATCGATATTACCTTCAAAATATTGTAGGCACCCAGATGATTCTGAAGTGAGCCCACCCATCTCACCAGGTCTCTGGAGGCAGAGTTCTCTCCAAGTGTAGCCCCTGGAGCATAAGCAGTTCCTGGGAACTTGTTAGAAATGCAAATCCTCAGCCGGCCCAGGTCTGCAGAATCTGAAACTCTGGGGGTGGGGTCCAGCCACCCCAGTTGCAACCTACTCTGTGTCCTAGAGCACTGCTTCTCAAAATAAGGTACACAGGACTCCCCTGGGGATCTTGCTAAAATGCAGACCCGCAGTTGGCAGGCATGAGGTGGGCCTGAGGGTCTGCACTTTGACCAGCTCCCAGGAGATACAGATGCTGCCATGGGATGCACTTTGAGCAGCAAGGGTCTAACGCAGGGTCAGCCACCACCCTCTGCCTGCTTTCTAGGCACACAGCCACACCCACTCCTTGGCCTACTGCTGTCTACACCGCAGGGTAGCTGGACAGAGAGTGCTAGGCAGAAACTACTCACTTTCTGGGACTTTACAGAAAAAAGCCAGCCTCTGGTCTAAATGAGGCTCTCTTAGCCTGATCCCCGCCCCCCGCCCCCCCCCCAGCTCTCCACCCTGACCTCTAATTGTGATTCCAGAGAGTAGCAGCATTCTCCCACCTCCAGCCAACACCTCAACTCCTTCTGCAGACTCCCCCCCAACACTGCCCCTGGCCTCCGCCCAGCCCCATCTGTAAGCACGGCCTGGGTGGGGGAACCCAGCCCACCCCCACCTCGCCACTGTATTATAAACATGCTGGGGTCGTGGCCTCCCTCACCAGCCTGAGGCAGGCACCTGGGTCGAGGTGTCGGGTGGATCTGTGAGGCCCCCCACACAAGACACAAGACACATTTGGGAAGGGGGCGACTCTCTGCGTTCTTTATCTCCCGCGGGGGTCAGCGGCCCTCCAGGGCCCGGTCTCGGGCTATGACCGCCTCCTCAAACTTGATCATGAGCGTGGTGCCCTTGTGCCAGTGCGCCGTGACCTTGGCGGGGAAGCCGCTGTGTGTGAGCACGGCCTCCACGATGCCCGCGGTGAAGCTGGCGCAGTTCAGGGTGCTGTTCTCCTTGGGCACAGAGATGTAGGTGTTGATGAGCGGCTCCCGCTCTATGATGTAGAAGGTGCGGGCGTCATCGTTGGCCTGCTCCAGCTTGTCGGCCTCCTTGCCGAACAGCGCCTTCCACACCGCGCCCTTGACGAAGAGCAGGGCACCCAGCACCTTGGTTTCGCGCCGGGCACCCTTTTCGCGAGCCACCAGCGCGTCGAGAACGCGCGCGCCCACCTGGCGGCCCAGGGCGGCCAGGCGCGCCTGCAGCTCGGCCACCGAGAAGACCCGGCTCTGGCAGTGCTGGACCAGCTCGGAGAAGAGCAGCGCGAAGGCGCTCAGGCTCACCTCGGTGCGGGGCCGCGCCAGCGCGCGCTCCAGCAGCGCCGACTTCCCGCGCGTGAAGCGCGCCTCCATGCTGCCGCCGCCCTGCGGGGACACAAGGAACCGCGTGTCAGGGGACGGAGATCGTGGAGGAGCACTGCCCCCCTCCACCCGTTTTGTGTCGTCCACTGCTGACCTCCCATGTAGGAAAAGAAGAGAGGAAGGAAAGGAAGGAAAGGGGGCATCCACCTGCACGTAAAGCGCGCCTCCTCCAGTAAAGGGAAAGGGGGACTTTACACCTTTGGCGAGGAGAGGGTTGGGGGCGGGGGGTTAGAGGACACGAGAGGGAGACCAGAAGGCGGGACCAGAAACCATCTCAACCTTCGAGTTGCCGGTGACCGCTCCCACGTGAAAAGCACCTTCGTGCCCCCTCTGCCACCTGTGGGAGCAACTAGAGAACTACTGCGTGGGGGAGGGGGCAGGGATGGGGGGGCCGTCAGAGGTCTCTCGGGCACTGTCCCCCGCAAGCCTCCAGAAGCGACAGCGCTGACTTCCTGCAAATAAAAGAATTTGTCCGCCTCTCCCCTGCGGAAAGCCAAAGAAACCAGAGAGGGGAGTGGGGTGTGTCAAGAGCAACAGCCTGGAGGGTGTGGGGCGTGGGGGACGGACAGACGACAGGCACGGGACAAGCCAGGAGGAAAGGGCTCTGACAGCGCCCATCTGGCATGCACGAAGCATGCCGCCTTGAAGATGCGGATGGGCCTTCGTTTGTAAGGAATACTGGAGGCGGCCGCAGAGAAGGCGTTGGGAACCCCTCCACCTCCGTGCCCTCCAGAAAGGTAGCGGGACAGTGGGAGATAAGGTGGAGGAGGCGGACTGTGAGACCCGGGGTTTGGGGGAGCCAGGAGGGGCGCTGTGATCCTCCCATCCTAGTGCACCAAGCACTGAGACCGCCACGACGCGGACCTGCGGCGAGGGTGGGAAGGAGCGGATGGGAGTGCCCCTCCCTTCCCCCCCGCCGACCCTCGCCCACTCTTGTGTGAAGCCGCTGCCAAGGGTGGAGTCGGGAGGAGCTGAGAACCCCGTTCCCACTGAGCAGGAAGGGGTAAGAGGCCGGAGGGGTCTGGGGATGCTGGGACTGCCCCCAACGAGATCTGCGTGGGGAATGGGAAGACCAGCGCCGGGGGGAGTCCAGGGGCTCCAAGACGCCGCCCAGGTGCGCATCCGTCTACACCGGGAGGGCCCAGCGCGCGAGATGGGAGGGGGAGTGTTGCCCCCCCCCACACACCGGGCTGCGATGGGAGCCAGTAACCTAAGCCGCGGAAAGGCCGGAGCCCCGAGACCCCCGAGCCAGCGCGGACCCGACAGAGGGGCCGGGGAGGGACCCACCCGGGAGGGACCCACCCTCCTCACGGGCCCTTTGCGTGGGCCGAAGCGGACGGACCCGGGATCGCGGACGCCGAGACCGCAGCCCAGGATCCCCAGGCGCGCGGGAGGCTGGGGGTCCCGGAGCGGGCAAGACCCGGCGCGGACAGGGGTTGCGGGCGGGTGGGGTCTCACCAGCGTACTACGGCCGTCCGTTTGGCCGAGTTGCTTTACGGCGCCGTAAAAGGTCCTGAGTGCGCAGGCGCTGCGGCGGGGCGGGCTCGTGGGCGGGGCGCGCGCGCTGGCGGAGATTCCAGAGAGCGGCCGCCAGGGGGCGCGCGTGTCCCGGGAGCCCGAAAGAGGGGTGTGGCCCTGGGGCCGGGGGCCGGGCTCGCTTGGGTTGGCTCGCTCTCAGACCAACGGTAGCGCGGATGGTCACCGGTTGGGGGCACACATTTGACGATGGGCCCACGTGTCTGTCTGAGGGGCACACATGTCTGTTTGTCCTAGAGGCACACTTGTGCCTTAAACACACATTCTCTTGTCTTAGGGACACGTGCATTTACTCAGGTACATGTTCTTAAGGGACATGCATCTGGGGCGCCTGGGTGGCTCAGTCGTTAAGCGTCTGCCTTTAGCTCAGGTCATGATCCCAGAGTCCTGGGATCGAGCCCCGCATCGGGCTCCCTGCTCCGTGGGAAGCCTGCTTCTCCCTCTCCCACTCTCCCTGCTTGTGTTTCCTCTCTCACTGTCTCTCTCTCTGTCAAAAAATAAATAAAATCTTCAAAAAAAAAAAGGGGGTGGGGGACATGCATCCATGAACCAGGGGCCTAGGGCACTTAGGGGCATGTGCACTCACGGCCGCACGCTCAGTGGGTATATACACTCAGGAACACAGTTACGCCCGTGGGTACCTGCTTAAGGGCTCAGACATATCTGTGGGCCCACCTGCACACAGGGAGACACCGTCCATCTCAGGCACACACTCTTGGGCACGGAGACTGGGTTACTCCCTGGGTACACGTTCATGGACACCCAAAGACCAACTCGGGGCATTCATTCCCACACAACCTCGTGTCCCAGGGCTCCTGGTATCATGTCCACGGGCTCACTGTGTGCCTTTCCCCATCCCCCAACATTTGCCAGACCCTCCCCCACCAGGTCCCCAGAGCCCCCCAGGTGCTCCCAGTATGAGATCTAAAAGCCACATTCTTTTGCATAGGCCTTTATCGTCACAAATCGCAAACTGTGAGTGCAGAAACAAAGGAACATACATGGGTACATGCTCCGAACCCCCCTCGGTTGCATAATCAGTCACACTCACATCGGCACAGGGCACACACTGCAACACCCACAATTATAGTGATATGCGGGGTGCCCCACGCACAGCGCCGCCGTGACACACTTATACACAACGTACCGCGGATACTCACACGTGCTCACAGTGCTACCCTTGTTGCCCACACCCACACTCACACTGACACACTTTTGGGGTCCTTGCTGACACAGCCAACCACTGTGTCATGCATTATGCTCACAACACACCATGATCACACATGTGGCCAGCTTCACTGGGAGGTGCAGCTGGGTCTTCGATGTCTTCTCATTTGTTGAGGTTTCTGGGCAGGATGGAGACCCAAGGTCAGGCAGATCCGTCCCCCAGGAGGGAAACTGGGGCCACGTCTGTGGCTCCCACCTCATCCACCTCCCCAGTCCCAACTTACATGAGCTTGGCTTCGTCTCCAGTGCCTTGGAGATTTCCTGTAACTTGTTCTTGATTTGGTTCATGTCTGGGGGCAGGAGGACAGGAGAAATCTGGTGTGGGGTCTCACACAAGGCCCCCATGTTTATTGGAAGCCTCCTCCCTGCACAACCCCCAGTCTGGGGTGCTGCGGAGCCTGTGTACTTGGTGTTCCCAGCGGCATTTAAATATCCCCTGAGTGACTCAGAGGGTGACATCCATCATGCCTCTAAACCCCCCTGTGTGCTGGGAGAATGGGACCCCTGCTGTCCCCTCCCCCCAATTCCCAGCACCCAGCATGAGATGAATCCCACCCAGTGAAGGTCTGCAACGGCACCTGTTAATAATGTCTTCATTTTTTCACTCTCGGACTGGACATCTCTCTTGACCACGTTAATGTTCTCCATGATGAGCTGCCAGACGGAGCTCCAGCCCTGATTCTTATTCTGACACTCCCGCACCGATTCGGAGACTGAGGCATGAAGTGGGCATGTCCGTATCACTGCTGCTCTCCTTACCCGCACCCCGACCCCTTGGGCCTCCCCCAGGTCCCACCCTCACTGTTCCAGAGCTCCCTTTTCAAGACCAGCAACTCCTGGGACATCTCAGAATCTGTTCAAGAGGAGGGGCGGAGGAGGCAGGAAAAGCCTTGAGGTGCCCCCAGTTCTGTAGGCCTGGGAACAAGGGTGGGGGAAGGGAGAGGAATGAGGGAGAAGGGAGACAGGGTGGAAACACTGGGCTACGCACCTCCTGAGGTCCCCCTCCACACTGCCCCAGCCCCCACCAAAAAAACAAAAAACAAAAACAACAACAACAACAAAAACCCTGAAATGAAAAACCCTACTCACTCTTTACCAAGACCAAGGCCATGAGGATGATGCAGGACAGGGCAAGGAGGATGTACAGGATCATGAGGGCTCTGTGCAGACTACGGGGAACCTGGGCAGATTCTGAGGGTGGCCTAGACAGGGTTGGGGCTGGGGTAGAGGCAAGACAGGTGACCTCCAGGGCCCAACACCACCACCCAAACCATCAGCACTGACTCTAACATCATCAGAAACTCTGTCACCTGCACCTGCTCTTCCCAATTCCATAGCCACTGTGACCACCAACATGCCCACTGACCAGAGCCACCAGCAGTTGTCCCTCATGCTGTCATCATCATGCTGCCCTTACCATCCCCTTTGCCAGCACTCACAATGTCAACAGTAGCTGTCACCAACACCCATCAACATCAGTGCCTACCATTGTCAGCACTGTCCCCAGCAACAGGTCTCATCAGCACCGTCATCGGCGCTGTCTAGGTGGTTCCTTCCTGATCCACTACATGGTCACCTCTCCACCATCACCATCACCCAAACTTTCACCAACACTTCCACCAACACCAGCACCACCGACATCATCATCCCCACCTGTGAAACTACCCCCCCCACCGACTGTAACACACAAGCCCTGATGACACCACGCCCCACACCACTGACCCCGACCTCCACATGGTGCTCCTGGTTCCCATGATGCCCTACCATGGGCCCCTCCCAAGGCTGTGCAGTGTGCGCTGGCAGATGGCTGCTTGCCCTGATTCTTGAGGGGTGAACGGCTGCCCTTCAGCTTGTCCTGGTTTTTGAAGGTCAAGGTGATATTCTCATAGTCAGGGTTATCTGCACCTGTGGGTGGGTCAGTGAGAGTGGAAACCTGCCTGGAGCTCTGGGGCGGGGGTGGGGGTAGGAAGGGGGCTCAGAGATCTTGGCTCACCAAAACCCAGCACACAACAAATTTCTGGGGATAAAAGATAAGGAATGGGGAAAACAAGATCTGCTTCTTGGTTAGGTGGAGAGGGCGTGCATGATCGTTTGGGGGATACACATGCACACGTACATTTTGGGGTAGGGGAAGGAGCCCTGTGACCCCACTTTCAGCCCCTTATCTCTCCCATCCCGATCTCCCACCTGACCTCTCCCCTCCCCACCCTGAGGTGCCTAACCTTCCTTATTGGCTGGGGCCCTCTGTTTCTTGTCTTTGAAGGCTGCTGCTGCCTGCATCTTGACCTCCTGCTTCATGTAGATTTCCTCAGACTCCATGGTTCCCAGTCTGCCAGTTTGCCCACACACATCCCCACCCACCGGAAGGTGTCATGGCCAATGAGGAAATCTCTGGGTTGGGGGTAGGGGGAGGAGAGGTCAGTCTCCTCTTTTCAGTGACCCAGGACCCTCCAGCCCTGGGGCATCCTCACCGCCCCCCCCCCCCCGATCAAGAGGGTCTTAGGAGACCAGAGGTCTCATGGAGGGCCAAGCAGAGAAGCCCATAGACCCAGAGACAGGAAACAGCATGATCAGGAACCAGCAACAGAAATGTTAGCTAATGCTATGGTGGTCATCATGTTGCAATATACAAATGTATCCAATCGACACCTGTATACCTCAAACCTACACAATGTTATAAGTCAGTTATACTCAATATAATTAAATTTTAAAAACTCTAAAGGATGGTCACAAACGGACACAAAAGGACACAAGCTATGTATGTGTCTACCCAAATAAACATTGTCCCCTGCCCCTCTCAGGAGAGAATCTAGGCCCCTGGGAGTCCCACCCTTTAGGTTTGAGGTATCTGGGCTTGGAGGCAGGATTCCTAGGTCTCCCACATCGTCCTACCCCCTGCCCCAGTCCTACCCCTCAGCTCCACCCCAAGAAATTCTACTTCTTCAAGGCCCCGTGGAGGAAAGGAACGGATGTGAGGCAAGGGGACCAACCACTTGAGCTCCACCCATATCTGAGACAGAACCAGATGCACGCCTTGACCTAACGCTGGACATCGTGTCCCCTCTCCCTGGGTCCCCAGACAGAGAAACACTTGGAAACACTCACTCTCACCCACGCATCTGCTCACCTACCCACACTCATGCACACTCCCGGAAACCGTGATACATCTGCTCACATATTCACATGGCTTGCCCGTTGGCAGGCTTCTACACGTGTTTGCCCCAGAGAAATATCCATATTCATGCATTCACATGTCTGCTCTTTGTCTAGATGTCTTCAAGCTCTCTTTGTGTCTGTGACCTTGAAAACTGGAGATAAAAACGAGACAGTTTGTAGGGAATTCTCTCTTTAAGTTTAGAACAGTGCCTTCTGGTAGAAATATAATGTAAACCACATCTTTAATTTAAAAATTTCTAGCAACCACGTTCAAAAGACAAAAAGAGACAGGCTAAATTAATTTTTTTTTCATCTTGCAAAACTAAAACTTTATACCCATTAAGCACCAATCCCCCATTTCCACCTGCCCCCAGCCCCTGGCAAGCACCGTTCTTTTTGTCTCTGTGAACTTGACACTCTAGGGACCTCATGTAAAGGGACTTCCATGACTGGCTTATTTCACTTAACATAAAGTCCTCAAGGGGCGCCTGGGTGGCTCAGTTGGTTAAACGACTGCCTTCGGCTCAGGTCATGATCCTGGAGTCCCAGGATCGAGTCCAGCATCGGGCTCCCCGCTCAGCGGGGAGCCTGCTTCTCCCTCTGACCCTACCCCCTCTCATGCTCTCTGTCTCTCATTCTCTCTCTCTCAAATAAATAAATAAAATCTTAAAAAAATAATAATAACGTCCTCAAGGTTCACCCATGTTGTAGCTTGTGTCAGAATGTCCTTCGTTTTTCAGGTCGAATGATGTTCCATCGCACATTCTTTTTTCAGGCTAAATTAATTTTAATAATGCATCTTATTTAACATAATATACCCTCAAAATTATCACTTCAGCATGTAGATGATACTAAAAAATTGAGATATATTACTTTTTTTTGGTACTAAATCTTCAAAAATCAAACGTGATTTACACTCACGGGACATTTCAAGTGTTTGGTGGCTGTCATATTGGACAGCGCTGGTCTAGACCATTATGGTTCTCTCCCTTTGGAAAAGTAAGTAAAAGATAATTAAAAAGACTTTTTAAAAAAGATTTTATTTATTTATTTGACAGAGAGATAGAGCATAAGTGAGAGACGATGGTGGGGCGGGGGGAAGTGGCAGAGGGAGAAGAAGCAGGGTCCCTGCTCAGTGGGGATCCCCTGCCAGGCTGGATCCCAGGACCCTGGGATCATGACCTGAGCTGAAGGCAGACACTTAACTGACTGAGCCACCCAGGCGCCCTTTAAAAAGACTTTCTATGTTTTAGCTTTTAAATATGTGATTAAATTTGAGATAACTTTGGAATGGTCCCCCAAGGTTTGATGAGAATAATGCTCTGTTTTCTAAACTATTGCCGACCTTGTCTGCTCAAGGATGACTGCTTTAACAGTGTTTTCATGCCAACTCCTCTCTGATTTTAGAAAGAAGTCCGCAATTGAGAGAGATTCGACCCTCCCCTGATGTAACCGTCACAGAGGAGACGGACCAATGGGCAGCTGGCTCTGCTGTGATGGACAGGTGCAGGGGGTGGGGCCACAGCACTGCACATTTCTGTAGGTCGGTTGAAGCGAAGACCAGGCTCCATCCAGCCCTCTGGACAAAATAGCAGTTGTGAAACTGGAGGCCCATGAGCAATCACAGTGGCTCAAGAGGGCTCTGTGAGGCTTCTCGACCAGGTCATGTCTTAGGGTAACAGTCTCAATTCTCTTTTAAGAAAGAATATGCGTCTCTAGGACAGCTAACCATAAACCCATGATTGGTTTAGAGTGGGTACATGATCCAGGCCCACCCAATCAGAGTCTAAGATTTGGCACAGGGGTGGGCACATGAGCCAGATTCAGCCAATGAAACTCAGGACTGCGACTTTTGGGGCATTAACCAGGAAAAAAGGCATTTCCTCTTTTTTTTTTCTCTCCACTGGGGCTCTCAGACTGGGAAAATGTTAGCTTGGAGCTGTGATGGGGGAGAACCTGCTTGAGAGAGAAGCCAGCATAGGAAAGCAGACCTGAGAGGGAGTCGGATCCTGGAGACATCATTTGAGGGCTAGATCCACCCGAACCTGAATCTGTCATTCTAACCCTGGGCCTCTCGGTATAGTCCGTTAAGAGTCCGACTCTTGGTTTCGACTCAGGTCCGTGATCTCAGAGTTGTGAGATCGAGCCCTGCATCAGGCTCTGTGCTGAGTGCAGACTCTCTCTTCCTCTCCCTCTGCCCCCTCTGCGCCTCCCCCCCCACCCCCCCACCCCCGTCTGCACTCTCTCTAAAATAAATAAGTCAATCTTTAACCCTGGGCTTCTCAGTTACATATCCAGAAACTTCCTCTTTTTTTTTTTTCTTTTTAAAAGATTTTATTTTTAAGTCATCTCTACACCCAACATGGGGCTCAAACTCACACCCCGAGATCATGAGTTGCATGCCCGACTGACTGAGCCAACCAGGCGCCCCCAGAAACTTCCTTTTACTTTTGCTCAAGTTACTTGCAGTAGGGTTTGCGACACTTGCAACTGGAAGACTCTTGGCTACCTCAGGAGGGCTGGGCGGTTGGCAAGTGAGAAAATGGAGGCTTGAGAAGGGGGCTTGCCTATCCAAGTCTGCACTCTGGGACAGGAGAATGACTGTGCTGGAATTGAGGACTCTGAAGAGGACCTTCTTGGGGTCCAGACATAGGGGGACAATTGAGTGGGACTTGGAGATACACAGGCATTCCAATCAGTCTGGGGACATCAGTGAGGGGGTGGGACAGGCAAGGTTCTAGACCCACCCTCTCTGCTCCTCAACACACTTCTGACTCAGTGGTCCCACCTCAACCCCATGGGGTCCCACCTCCAACCCACGTGGGGTTAGGAGGGAGGAATTAGGAGGGGAATCTCTGGATTGGGGTATGGGTGGGCTCCAGGGGCAAGAGGAGAGTTTGTGATCTCAGCTCATGGCTACCGGAATCAGACAGGGGGCTCTGCCGTCATAGAGGATGGGTGGCAGAGATGGGGGCACAACATGGGAGGAGAGGAATGGGCAGAAGAAAGTCACGGGTGCCCCCCGCCCCGCCACTGCCTCCCTCCGGGAGAGTCCAAAACATCTTGAAAACCAGGATCCCACCCCATCACCTGTTCTCCAGTGTGCTCGTGGGGGCTGGGACATTTGAGTCTGGGGTCCCTTTCAAGACTGGGCACCAAGTGTTCTGAAATCTGTGTCTGCATCTGGCAGGGGCTGGATTTTTAAGACCCCTGGGTTAGGATTCCCAGGGAACTGGACCCTGAATCACCTGGATCTGTGCCTCCCAGGAAGCTGTGTAAGTGTTGCAGGTGACTCGTCTTCAGGTCAGAATTCAGACAGGGACCGATGTCTTCCAGGCGGGGATGGGGACTCGAGGTCAGAAGCAAGAGACTCTGTCCAGGGTTTACACGTCTGTGTGTCTATGTTCCTCCTTCCATGGCCATGCCTGTGTGTTTCAGTGGTGCTTTCTTGTGCCCATGTATGTGTCTGTGGCCATGGTGTGTCCCTGTGTGACCACAGTAACTGTACATGTAGTGTGTGTGTGCACCTGGATGGTGTATCCACGTGTGTATGTGGTTATTTATTCAGCAGACATTTCCTGAGCATCTACTATGTGGCATGCTCTCTTCTGAGCGCCAGGAATACACCAAAGGGCGAACAAGTACCCTGCCCTGCGTTTTCATATTCAAGTGTCCGTGAGGGCGTGTGTGCCTCTGTGTATTGCAGGTTGTAACTACTCGAAACTGCACTGCACGTGTGAAAACGTGAACTTGCGGTTCGTGGCCTCAGGTAAGGGTTCTCAGCTTGCTTCTGTGAAGATTCCTTCCTGTCCACGACCCAGCTTTGCCTGTGCCCTGCTGGCAGCTCCATGAGGTTGGGGAGTGAGGGATCTCGGCTCAGGGCTCTGGGCTGAGAGATGACCCAGGGGTCCACCTTGACCCTGGGGCTTCTGGAGGCTTGGGGCCCTGAAGTGTATGTAGAGTGAGGGGGCCGGGGGTCCCTGTCCTATCCAGACCCAGACCCCGAATGAAGCCTCATTGTAGGGGCTGGGGCAGAATGACCCAGCGATTTCCTGGAAGGCCAGAGACCCGAGGGTGACCGTCAAGGTGGCCTTAAAGGTAACACTTCCCCTCCTGAAGGAGGTCATGATCCTTGCGTGTGAGGGTCCTCAGAGGAAGTAGAGGCCTTGTTCTCGGAGATGGGGGGGGGAGGCACAACGTGGGAGGAGAGGGATGGGCAGAGGAAAGTCACGGGCGGCCCCGGCCACCGCCTCCCTCCAGCGTCTGCGTGCCCGGCTCTTTCGGAGACGCCAGCTCAGTCCCCCACCCCCCACAAAAGACAGCGCCGCGCCCAGACCCTCACCTTCTCAGGGTTTATTTCCAGCCCCGCCCCTCCGAGGCCTGGCCACGCCCCCCAGCCCGCACCGCGACGCCGGGGACCTCAGGCGGTGCTCTGCAGGCGGCAGCAGCGAGCTCCGGTCCAGTCCATGGCCGCGCACTGGCAGTGGCATGTGGCCTCGGCGCGCACGTCCCACGAGCCACAGGCGGAGCCACAAGTGCAGGCGGTGACGGCGAAGCCTGCGGGCGGAGCGGAGGGAGTCTGGACGCGGGCGGGAGGCTACCGGCCTGGGGGCCCGGGGGGAAGCCAAGGAATGAATGGGAGCCGGATTGCGTGGGCGGCTGGGGGCCTGGACTCCAGTGTCCTAAGCTGTGCCGGAGCTGGGGCCGCAGACCAGGACCCTGGGGAAGTTGACTCAAGAAATAGAGGCTGGACTTAGGGGGAGGGGTTCCTGGGTGCTGGGAACAGAAGCGAGAGCCTGGAAAAGGTCTCCGGTACTCACCTGCGGGGCAGGTGGCCAGGTCCCCCCTGGAGGTGACGCTCCGGCAGCTCAGGCCAAAGTTCCTCCTTGTCTCAAGAACTGCGGGAGGGAGGAGGGAAGGAAGCCGTGAGACCAAGCTGCCCCTGTTCTCATGTGGCCTTGGCCCTGGTGGTTTGGAGATAGGCAGGGGGTCAAGAAAACTCTTCTGAGGAAGGCCCAGGTGGGCCAGGCCCTGGTGGAGAGCCATGAGATGGGACGCTCATCACCTCCCAGGTTCTGTCTTGAGATGGGTGTTTTGGAGGAAGGAGGATTTGGAGCTTCTGCCAAAGATGGAGCTGGATGGGGGCTGGGGTTGGCTTGGGTTTGGGGTGGAGGTTTGGTTCTGGTTGGGGCTGAATTGATGGCTGCTCCATGTCAGGAATTAGAGGGGGCCTCTGAGGCCCCTGCTGAGGTTGCAAGTGAGGGTCCTCACTTAAGGATCTGGTGCCATCCTGGATCTTCTCATTGATGGCTTCATCCACTGGACACAGAGACTTGCCACACACCAGCTGCCCCAGGACAGGGAGGAGGAGGAGGGCAAGAGCCTTCATCCGGCAGGTGCTGCAAGATGGAACCAACAGCCGGGTCAGTCCCTTCTCATCTGGGGAGGGTCAAGCCTCCAGAGCAGGTGGGATATGGAATCCTGGGTCCCTGCCGGGGGGACGGGGCTGGCGTCCCGGCTTTGCCAAGGCCCCCTCGGGCAGGGGTTCTGGGCTGAACAGGGGCAGCTGTTGCTTACCCTCAGGACGGACTCAGCAGGCCAAATCTCGGGCACTGATTTCATGCCTCTGCCACATCTCCCTCTTTAAGGCTTCTGCTGGATGTGGAGCTTCCTGTCTTAGCTGAGTGTCTTGGCTCCCTGGCCGTCCCCTCCCACATCCGGGACCAAGAGGAAGCCCCCAGGGCAGACTCTAGGAGCCCAGAGGTAGGAAGCTCTGCCCACTCCCTTCCCTGCTACAGTTTCCCCATTCAAGAGCCCACCCTTCTCACATTCGGGCTGGGACTGGTCCAGGAGGTAGTCCTGGGGGATGATTCCAGAAGCCCCTGTCCCAGGGACAGGCAAAGAAATAGGAGTTTGCACGCAGGGGTGGGGAACATAACAAAATAACACCCCCAAAATAAATAAATATGCAGTGAGAACTGCATACCATGTTCATAGCCAAATGCCTATCAACAATAGAATGGATAAAATCATGTTTTCTTTTTTCCTTCAGTGGAACAATCTGCAACAGACGGTGGCAAACTTGCAGCCCATGGGACAAATCTGGCCCACTGTCTATTTCTGTGCAACCCATGAGCTAAGAATGGTTTTTACATTTTGGGGGTTTTTTTTGGTTTTTGTTTTTAATACAAACGGATTTTTAAAATTGTGGCAAAATACATTTCACATTAAACTTATCATTTTAACCATTTCTTAAAAAGATTTTATTTATTTATTTGGGATGGACAGAGAGAGATAGCAAGGGGTGGGGAGGGGCAGAGGGAGAAGCAGACTTTCCGCTGAGCGCAGAGCCCGATGAAGGGCTCGATCCCGGAACCCCGGGATCATGACCTGAGCCGAAGGCAGACGCTTAACTGGCTGAGCCACCCAGGTGCCCCATTTTAGCCATTTTTTAAGTGTAGGGTCCAATGGCATGAAGTACTCTCACATTGTTGTGCAACCATCCCCACCAACCATCTCCAGAACTTTCTCATCTTTCCAAACTGAAGCACTGTCCCCACGAAACACTAACTCCCTATCCCCCCTAGCCAGACCTCCTGGCTCCCACCATCTACTTTCTGTCTCTATGATTTTGCCTGTTCACACCTCAAGTAAGTGGAATCACACAATACTTATCCTTTTGTGTCTGTCTTCTTTCACTTAGCAAGATTCATCCATGTTGTGGCATGGGGCAGAACTTTATTCCTTTTTATGGCAAATATTCCATTGTAGGGACACACCACATTTTGTTTATTCATTCATCTGTTAGTTGCAACTTGCTTTGTTGTTTCCACCTCTTGTCAATGATGCCCCTGTAAACCTTGGAATGTATGAGCATCTCTGAGCATCTCTGAGTCCCTGCTTTCAGTTCCCTTGGGTATATATCCAGGAGCAGGATTGTTGGATCATATGACAATTCTGTGCTTAACTTTTCGAGGAGCTGCCAAAAAGTTTGTACATTTTTAAATCATTGGAAAAAAAATTTTGACATATGAAAAGTACATGAAATTGAAATCCCAGTGCCCATAAATAAAGTGTTCTTAGAGCATAGCCATGCCTACTTTTTTATAGATGGTCTGAGGTTGCTTTCCCAGGTCAGTGACAGAGACTATGCCCTGCAAAGGTGAACCCGGCTACCATCTGGCCCTTTACAGAAAAAAAAAAAAATTTGTCCACTCCTGGTCAATAGCAATGAGTGTGAATGAGAGATCACAATGTATGAATTGCAGCTACATGTAACAGTCTGGATGATTCTCACAAAACATGACTGTGAGCAAAAAAATCCAGACGCAGAAAAGAAAAGAACATACCGCACAAATCCATTTATTAAAAAGGACCAGGGCAGGGTGCCTGGGTGCCTCAGTTGATCGAGCATCCGACTCTTGATTTTCCCTCAGGTCATGATCTCAGGGCCCTGAGATCGAGTCCTGTGTCTGGCTCTGTGCTGGGTGTGGAGCCTGCTTGGGATTCTCTCTCTCCCTCTCCCTCTGCACCTCCCCTCTCCCCACTCCACACACACACACACCTGCTCTCTCTCTCTCAAAAAAAAAAAAAAAAAAAAAAGCACAACTAATCTATGCTGTTGGAGATGAGGATGGAACTTCCCTGGGGAGTGAGGGAAATTGGGAAGCTAGTGAAAATTCGAGCATACACTTCCATCTGCACCATTTTCTTTGCGCATACTCTATTTCAGTGACGTGTGTGAAAGTGACATGTATGTGTGAAATCCCTATGTAAATACAACTGTGTACACAGGGCCAAAGTGTAGGCAATATTTATTGAGCACTTACTATGTGCCGGATGGAATGCTATGCACCGTGCATGCAGTGGGGAGCAAGGGGACCCCCCAGCCCTCACGCACTTTGCCCTGTCTGTCGGAGGAAGACAGACACCAAGAGAGAGCTCAGTTGGCCTCACACTCCACCAGTCATCTCTGCCCCAGAGGAGAGGAACAGAGTTCTGGGAGAACTTCTGGCAGAAGAATGTGGCCCCTGGTGGAAGAATCCAGGGAAGTTTTATGGAGGAAGAGATGGCTGAGCGGAAGCTGGGGGTGAGCAAGAGTTAAGCAGGAGAACCAGTCAGGGACGGTATTCTGGGTGGAAGGAACTGCTTGTCCCAAGGCCCTGGGGAAGGACAGCGTGCACCAGCTTTGAGGAACTGAAAAAAAACCAGTGGGCAGGAAGGCAGAGAGCCTGGTTGGCATTAACAAATTTTGCAGACTCCCTTCCTTGAAGACCCCCAGACACAGCTTGGATACAAGGTAGTTCGGGACACAGCAAGAGTCATTTTGTTAAGAGCTCTGATCCTTCAAACCTTTAGTCTCAGAACTTTTCAGATAAAAACTTTTGAGGGGCAAGAAGCGGGCAGCTCTGACTACAGGTTGGGTGAAAAGCAGGGGGCGTGTGTGGAACCCCTAGGATTCCCTGGGGACTTAGTTTGAAAACCCTTGGTTAAGTAGCAGGAAAGGGCTGCATGCCCTTCCTTTCTCTTTGAAGAAAATAAAATATTTTGGGGGTGCCTGGCTGGCTCATTCGGAAGAGCATGCCATGCTTGATCTCAGGGTCATGAGTGCGAGCCCCACCCTGGGTGTAGAGATGACTAAAAAAAAATAAACTTAAAAAAATATATTTTCATTCCCCCTGATTTCTATCAGTGACACTGAGGTCTGGTGGCCTCAATTTTGCATCAAATGCTATCAAATAAAATTTCAGAGCCAGGTCTTTAAAACGTACAATAGGGGAGCACCTGGGTGGCTTAGCTGGCTGAGCCTCTGCCTTTGGCTAGGTCGTAATCCTGGAGTCCTGGGATCGAGTCCTGCATCGGGCTCCCTGCTCGCACGGAGCCTGCTTCTCCCTCTCCTCCCTGCTCGTGCGTGCTCTCTCGCTATCTCTCTCTCCCTCAAACAAGTAAATAAAATCTTTTTAAAAATAAAATAAAAAAATAAAGCATACAATAGGGCAGTCCCTGTCTTTTACAATCAATTTTATTGAGGTATAATTTTCGTTAAATAAAGTGTTCAGTTGTATGTATTTTGACAAATGTACATGCCTGCATGCTGCATGAATGTTTTGTTTTTCCCAAGTATTGTCTTTTTAGTTTTTTGTTTTTGTTTTGTTTTGTTTTTTAGAGAGAAAGAGAGAGAGCACCTGCATGCATGCAAGGAGGAGGGAGGGGCAGAGGGAGAGGGAGAGAAAGAATCTTAGGCAGGCTCCACGCCCAGCACAGGGCCAGACATGGGGCTCCATCCCAGGACCCTGAGATCATGACCTGAGCTGAAAGTGTACTTCTGTCCTTGAAGGGTTATTATGAACCAGGAGGGCCTGGGAAATTGACCTCCAGAAGTAACCAGAGTCACTTGCCTCTCTAGATAACAACTTGCCGTCCTGTTGACAGACGAGATGACAGGGGGCTCGGCGAATCAGGAAAGAATCACTTGCTTCCTTCCACATGAACGACAGAAAAGAAAAGCAAAAGCCCTGGAACCCTGTCCACTTTCTTAAAGATTTTATTTATTTTTCAACAGAGAGAGAGAGACAGCGGGAGAGGGAACACAAGCAGGGCGAGTGGGAGAGGGAGAAGCAGGCTTCCCGCGGAGCAGGGAGCCCGATGTGGGGCTCGATCCCAGGACCCTGGGATCATGACCTGAGCTGAAGGCAGACGCTTAATGACTGAGCCACCCAGGCGCCCCCTGCCCACTTTCTTAAGCAAGAGCTGGTGAGCCTGGCTTCATTTAGAAACGCTTCTGACCTGGGGGGTCCGGGGTGGGGGGGACCTGCCTGGTGGAAGGGGAGCCTGAGCAGCTAGCTACCAGCTACAGAGGTGGGGAGACGACAGGCAAGACCTGTGGGGGCCAGGTTGTGCCTTGGGGCAAGGAACAGTGAGAGCCTGAGGGTTGGGTGGTAAAGAGCATGGAGATTTCCAGTGTTAACCACCTGAGATTCTCCTTTGCAGTAGATCCACTCTTGTCTCTCAATGTCCCTGGGTTCCTTGGGCCTCTGGACTCCTTACAGAATATCTTTCACTTGGGGGCTCCTTGGGGTGCCCTGAGATGATCATATCTACTGTTTGTTGAGCAATTTATACATATGACCACCAGCTGGTCAGGTAGAGATGATTGTTATCCACAAGAGGAGTTGCTGAGGCCCAGAGAGGCTAAGTGACTTGTCTGGGGTCACACAGCAAGTTGGTGGAGGAGCTGGGATTTGAACCCTGATGGTCTGGCTCAAGGATCTGCACCTTTCAGCCCCAAGAAGTGTGTGTGTGGGGGGGGCACTCCCTGGATGACCACAGCACTGTACCAGCTTTAAAAAATAAGAAGAAAGGAAAAAAATAAAAGCAACATTGTTTTGAGAATATTCCTACAGCTTTTCTTTTTCTGTTAAAGAAATGACAGAAATAAAATGTCCCTATTTTTTTTTTAAGATTTCATTTATTTATTTGAGAGAGAGAAAGCATTTGGGGGGGGAGGGGAGGAGCAGAGGGAGAAGCAGCCTCGATCCCAGGACCCTGGGATCACAGACTGAGCTGAAGGCAGATGCTTAACCGACTGAGCCATCCAGGTGCCCCAGGGACATTTTAGAGCGCCTGGGTGGCTCAGTCGGTTAAGCATCTGCCTTCGGCCCAGGTTGTAGTCCTAGGGTCCTGGGATCGAGCCCTGCATCTGCTCAGCGGGTAGCCTGCTTCTCCCTCTCCTCCCCACTCGTGCTCTCTCTGGCTAGCTCTGTCTCTCTCTCTCAAATAAATAAATAAAAAGTTTTTAAGTGTTCCTATTTAAAAAGGAATTCAAAGAATACAGAAGTTTATAAAAGAAATGTTCCTGGGTAATCCTACTCACAGGAAATAATCAAGAAATGGGGGGGGCGGGTATGAAGTACCCTGCACCCTCCCCACCAACTGAGGAACTGTGAATAAAAGGGGATAATGGAGGGTGGAATCTGGCTTCCTGGGGTAAAACTGAGCCTCCCCCACACCCTGGCCTCCACCACAGGCCCCAGCGCTCTCCCAGCACCATCTCCCCAATTCCCCAAATGGCTGGGTGCTGTTTTACAGATGGGAAAACTGAGACTGGGTGTGGTTGGCTCACTCTCAAAGGGGAGATTTCACCCAGATTTGTCCAATGCCAAAGTCTTCCCTTTTAACTAAGGCATTTTCTCCCCCAAACTCTGGGGTGAGCAGTACATGGACCAAGGTGAGGATGCATGGAGGGCAAAGTAAAGGTGGGTGGGAAAGAGTTTCGTGGAATCTCCTTCCACCCAGCCTGGCTTTTTGATTTTTTAAATTTTTTTAAGATTTTTATTTATTTATTTGAGAGATTGAGCACGAACAGGGGGAGAGGCAGAGGGAGAAGCAGGCTCCCCGCAAAGCAGGACTTGATCTCAGGACCCCGGGATCATGACCTGAGCCGAAGGCAGAAGCTTAACTGACTAAGCCACCCAGGTGCCACCCTGGCTTTTTTTAGATTCCTTGTATCAATCTTAAACAAACAAACAAAGGAACAAACTCAGGGTGCCTGGCCAGCTCGGTTGGAAGAGCATGTGACTCTTCATCTTGGGGTCGTAGGTTCAAGCCCCACATTGGGTGTAGAGATTACTTTAATTAATTAATTAATTAATCAATTAACTAATTAAAAAAAAAACGGTGCTCCTGGGTATCACAGTCGATTCAGCATCTAACTGTTAGTTTTGGCTTGGGTCATGATCTCAGGGTCCTGGGTTCGAATTCAGCATTGGGCTCCATGCTCAGCTCAGAGTCTGCTTGAGACTCCTTTTCCCTCTCGCTCTGCCCCTCCCCCCTGCTCTCTCTCTCCAATATAAATAAATAAAATCTTAAAAAAAACAAAACCACCCAAAAACCTCATAGAAACAGGAAACAGACCAGTGGTTGCCAGGGGGCGGAGTGGAGAAATACGGGAAGGTTGTCCGAAGGTCCAAACTTCCAGCTAGACGATGAATAAGTTCTGGGGAATCTAATGTACACCGGGGTGATTACAGTTAACATGACTGCATTGTGTATCTGAAAGTTGCTAATTGAATAGATTGTAAAGGTTCTCACCACACACACACACACACACACATACACACACGGTCACTCTATGAGGGGATGGATGTGTTAACTAACCTTACGGTAGAAATCATTTTGCAATATATTCATAGGTCAAATCACTACATTGTACACCTTAACCTGACACAATGTTACATATCAATTATATTTCAATAAAGGGGGGGACATCGATTTCCCATATAAGGGAAATCATGCAATGTTTGTCTTTCTCCTTCTGAGTCATTCACGTGCATCTGCAGAGACCATGGAGACCGTGACACCACACAGGGCAAATGCTGCAAAGATGTCACCTTTCCTCACCAGCATTTTCCCAGAATTTTCCCGGCCACCGACAGGGACCGAGACTCGGAGTGGTCTCACAAAAAACTGTGGTCATCAAGGGCGGGGCTCCTCCTCCTGTCCTGTCATGTCCCCCCCGCCCCCCATCCCAGTGCCCCAGCCCTGGAGACTCCATCTCTGGCCCCCCTGGAGCAGAGCCTTCCCACTCGCTGGGCAATTTCTTCACTCCAGGGGCCTTTTCACAATATTCTTGGCAGCGGTTGGTTAACTGGTGTTTGAAGATTTTGAGTAACTTTAGAAAAACAAAAAAAAGGAAGCTTGCCTTGCCTCCTCGCTGTCTGGGTTCCCCTGGAGCTGACAGCCTCCTTCCTGGAGCTTTCCTTGGCTCGCTGAGTCACACTCACTTCCTGTCCCTGCCCTGGGGCCACGAAGCCCCTGCCTCCCAAGTTGAAGACTTCGGGCACTCCTTCTTCTGCCCCTTTCTCTGCCAGGGTCCCCGCTTTCACCCCTCCCACCCAACTGGCAGTCTCCGGCGTGCCCTGGAGCCTCACATTTATTTCAGCGGGGCAAGTTCCAGACCACAAACCTTTCTTCCCATGTGACTTGGATCAGATATTATTCTAGAAGAGGTTCCCTGCACAGCACGGGTGGAGAACGCCCACATTCCTGATCCTGAGACCATCCATCCTCACTTCTCCTGGGGGCCGTGCCCTCAGACGCTCCAAAGCATTGATGTGAGCCTGAGAAATCTTTTTGCTCACTTTATGAGGCCCTCCTTCTTAGCCCGCCCAGTGCCGGACCCCATTAGAGTGTCAAATAATAATAATGTTATTATTATTATATCCATAATATATTATGATGATTATCATTATGGCAGCCAGAGTTTCCTGGATGCTTCCTATATGCTTACAATGTGACCACCAGTCACCCTGAGGTCTGTCTCGACTCCAGACCCCCCCTGATAAACTCATATATCCTGCTGCCTCCTGGGGATCCTGCAGATAATACCCAAGAAAACGTATCAGGTTGTTAGTTTCTATACAGTCCAACTAGTTGCCGAGGGACAGGTCATTTGAAAAGGATCCCAGCTAGGGATGCCTGGGTGGCTCAGTCAGTTAAGTGTCTGCCTTCTACTCAGGTCATGATCCTGGGGTCCTGGGATGGAGTCCTGGGTCGGGCTCCTTGCTCAGCAGGGAGCCTGCTTCTCCCTCTGCTCCTTCCCCTGCTTGTGCTCTCTCTCTCTCTCTCTCTGACAAATAAATAAAAAAAAAAAAAGAGAGAGAGAGAAGGATCCCAGCTAATTCCAGGGGAAGGATTAATAAGGTTGAAAATAATCTTCAGGAGAGGATGGGTCCAGTCATTGAGGCGTGATGGCTGCTAACACCTTTAAGTGGAGAATTGGTGGGGACCAGGGGACAGCTGCCCCACTCCCACCAACCCACAGATGAATTGTAGCACCCTGACATTATGGAGCTCCTGAAGAGATGCAACAGGAAGTACCCAGCCCCACCAATGAGAGAGTATTCTGACCTACAGTGGAACCTGGTCCAGGTAATGCTAACCACCTGTTGACCTGAGGAAACAGCACGGTGGGGATGGTGGGGACAGATGCTAAGAACAAGTTATATAGGGTCACAAAGAAGCAGCCAGCCAAATCCAGAATGGGGGCCATTCCCTAGGACAGGAAGAGAACCCCTAAGAAAACACACCAAGTCGGGATAAATGTCCTGAGGAAATAAAGCACGGTGACCTTTGAGCTAAAACAGGAAGGAGGGAGGATACGAAGAACTGGGGGCAAAGCATTGTAGGCA